TCATTAGTTAATTAAAGAAACAAAATAGACACTTACGATTTATTATTTAACAATTAGGGTTATAATTTTTTTCGTTGGTTTGCACTTTCATCTTCTTCGTCGCCTCGTCGGCAAGCTTTTGTTTTTGACTCTTTGGTCAAGCTTTTGATCAAGGTAATACAAAGGCAAATATTTTCTTTAAACATTTTGTCACCAAATCATGTTTATTAAATCTAATTACTCGTGCTCCATTCTATTTTTTCTAAAATTAAAAAATTACAATTAATCATTGTAACTTTATTTTTCCTATTACAGAAAAATGTCATCAACGAAGAAAGATCAATCGTCTGGATGTAAAAACAGAAAAAGAGAAAACTAAAAGATGAACAAGCAAAATCTCAAGAGAACGCTTTGTTCAGGTTCTTCAAAAAACCTGAAATTTTTGATGAATCTGTGGAAAATAAAGGAGATGAAACTCTTGGAGATAATAGAGTGGATGAGGATATAAATGAGTGTGAAAGAGAAGAAGCGGGTGTTGAATGAGAAAACGTGAATGTAGTGGATGGAGAAGAGATGAATGTTAAAGATGATGTGAATACAAATGAACATGAGAAGAGTGATGATCTGAAGGAGACTTGTGGAATTTTTGATATGTATGATCCTTGAAATTGGGAAAATATCAAAATAGGATGGAATGAATGGAGGCATTTCATGGTAGTACAAGGTCCACCAAAAAGACTGTCGCTTGGTTATAACTTTTCTAAGAACAGTGTTAAAAGACATTTTTCACATTTGTATTATACAAGAGAGATGGGTGATGGAGCAAAACAAGATCGACGTTGGCTAGTTTACTCAAAGGTATTGAACAAGATCTTTTGTTTTCGTTGTAAACTGTTCAATCAAGGTGACAATAGTCAATTGACATCTACAGGGTTTAGTGATTGGAGGAATGTTTTGAAAAGGCTTAAAGAACACGAATCTAGTCGTGAGCATAATTTGTGTATGAAACAGTGGGCAGAACTAGATCTCAGGTTGCAGAAGAATCAAACTATTGACAAATATGCTCAAGATGAAATCTGCAAAGAGAAAATTCATTGGAGGCAGGTGTTGCTTAGGATTATTTATGTGGTAAAAACTCTTGCTAAACAAAATTTAGCCTTTCGTGGAAGCAAAGAGAAAATTGGAGAAGAAGGTTGTGGGATTTTTTTAAGCTTTATCAGAGATGATAGACGATTTTGATCATGTGATGATAGAACATCTTAGAAGATATAGAGAGGTTATATCTCGTTCCCATTATCTCAGCAACAGAATTCAGAATGAGTTAATAGCTTTGTTAGCTAATGAAGTAAAAGCTATGATTGTCAAGAAAATCCAAGCTGCAAAGTACTTCTCTTTGATTCTTGATTGCACTCCAGATATTAGTCATCATGAACAAATGACTGTCATCATTAGGTGTGTAGATGTTTCAACAACTTCAACAAAGGTCAAAGAATTTTTCTTAATGTTCTTGAAAGTTGATGATACATCAGGTGAAGAACTTTTTCGTGAGCTTCAAGATGTTTTGACTGCTTTTGATTTAAAAATTAACAATGTGAGGGGACAAGGTTATGATAATGGCTCTAATATGAAGGGAAAGCATAAGGGAGTACAAAAAAGATTTCTTGAGATAAATCCTAAGACGTTTTATACACCATGTAGTTGTCACAGTTTGAATCTTGCACTTTGTGATATGGCAACCACTTCTTCAAAGGCTATATCATTTTTGGGGATTATACATCGTACTTATTGCTTCTTTTCATCTTCAGTTAAGCGATGGAAACTATTTGAGGATCATGTGGGTGGCCTAACTCTTAAGCCTTTATCACAGACTCATTGGGAGAGCCATGTTGAAAGTGTAAAGGCAATACGATTTCAGGCTTCTAAAATCATGAATGCGTTAATGTACATAGCTGAAAATAGTGATGATCCGAAAGAGCAGAGCGACGCTGAATGTTTTGCAACAAGTGAAACACAGGGAATTGGAAGTTTTGAGTTCCTAGTTTCCATGGTTATTTGGTACAATCTTCTATCTGTTGTTAACATCATGACTAAGAGTTTACAGTCAGAAGACATGAACATCGATGTACCGATTTCTCAACTCAAGGGGTTGGTTTCATATTTTAGAAAATATAGAGAGTAAGGCTTCATGAAAGCAAAAGTGGAAGCTAAAGAAATTGTAGTTCCTTTGGAGATTGATCCTATATTTGCCAAAAAAGCAAAGCGGGTGATTAAAAGAAAAAGACATTATGGCGAAGAATCAGAAAATATGGAGGGAAGTGTGATATTATCACCCGAGGAGAGCTTTAGGATTGACTACTTTATCCAAATCATGGATCAAGCTCTTTACCCACTTGAGACAAGGTTTGAGCAATTTCAGAGGTATGAACAAATATTTGGTTTTTCGTTTGATTTGAAAAAATTGCAATCAGCGAGTGATGATAGTTTGATGGCTTCTTGTGTCAATCTTGAAGTTTCTCTAACCCATGAAAAGCAATTAGATGTTATTGGTCAAGATCAAATCGTATCTGACATTGATTTTGATCGAAAGAGTTGAAGTTGATCAAATCGTATCTTCGTTCGACTATGTCACAAGAAAGATTGACTGACTTGGCTATTTTATCGATTGAAAGAGAATTGGTTAGAGACATTGATTTTGAAAGCTTGGTTAACGATTTTGTAGAGAGGAAATGCCAACAAATGTTTAAGAACTAATATTTGGTTTGTTAGTTTTTTTTTTATTACATGACAATGATGTTTATGTTTTGTAGACGATTTTTTTTATAAGGGCATTTTATTTTTATTTGCTTCTGATACTCGATAGCGCTCGCACGGCTCTGGAAGCAACATTTACTTCTGAAAGTGGAGCTGATCCAGTTGGAAGATGATTCATCATCATGAGTTCATTGTTTTGTTCAGCAACAAGAAGGACCTCCATCAAGTCAGAATATCAAGTATAGCCTCTACCTCGATAGTTTGTTGCATGATTACATTTGTAGGATGAAATGTTGAAAAGTTTTCTCGATCATATCATAATCGAAAACATTCTCTCCACATAAAATCATCCTGGAAGTAATTTCGAACAAAGCAGAATTATTTTCACTTACACTTAAGTAATCCTGAAACCGCAGATTTAGCCATTCATGTTTGGCTTTTGGTAAGATCACGTATTGTTGGTGATCAAACCTATCATTGAGAGAGACCAAGAGATCTGCGGGATTTTCTCTCGTGATATATTCATCTTTGAAACTATCGTGGAGCTGGTGATGCAAACACATCATGGCTTTTGGCTTTTCCTCTTCTAACGTCGTTTCACACAGATCGAGGGTTTTAAGAAGCCCATTCACTTTTAGATACATTTTTGCATCTAATGCCCAAGTTATAGAATTGTTTCCAGAAACATCAAAGGCAGCGATATCAAGCTTTGCCAAGTTTAACATGATAATTATATAAATAATATAACAGTTTGTCATATATAAATTTTATTATAAAATAGTTTTGCAAAATCTTGTTTTAAGAATAAAGTAACATAAAAATAAGAATTAATTACTCAAATAGCATAGAAAAGTATGTTTATTCCCAGAATATCATACATCTTTTTTTAATTACTCATATGTTTTGAGCATTAGTGTAATTACAATTAACACTCTTGATTAGTTTTTATTTATTAATATTACTAGTTTTGTTTTTCAATTAAGAAATATAGAAATACAATTATTATCCACATCACAATTCCACATCATTTACCCTAATCCACGTTATTACCCGAATCCACGTCACCCGAAATAAAAGATTCCCTTAAAGCTTTCGGTTTCTCCTTTTTTCAATGACATTTCACTGTTCATCCGCGCAAAAAAACAAAAAAGAAAAAAGAAAAAAAATTGTCGCTCTCTTCTCTCGTTCAGTAGACGGAACCCTAATTTTGTTGTCATTCTCTATTTATCTCGTTTCTTCCAGCCAAAACTCTTTCAGTGGTGTCGAATTTGAAGTCATCAAAAATCAAAACCCAAATCAAAGAGATCTATGGAATTCTACATGATTGGTTACATGTTTGAGTTTAAATCAATAATAGCTACTTTTTCACTTTGATTTTACATGTCTCTCGTTACGTCTTCCTCTCAATCGATCTATTTGGAGACACTTCTACTTCTATCTATGTTTTGATTCATACGGATTAGTCTTCCTTCTATATATCCCTCAAACATATTCTTACGTTTCTTAATTTGATTATTGTTATTTGGCCAAGAAATTTCATATTGTCTTCCCCAGAAAAATGTTGCTTTCCGATCTGTATTATAAATCAGCCGTAAAGTGATGTAACTCAGCTGTAACGTGATGTAATTCAGCAGTAACATATATTTTTCACAACCTTTCGTCTTCCCTGAATGATAACTCAGTCGTGACATGTAATTTACCGAACTTTTTGTCTTCCCTGAAGCATATAATTTACACCCATCTTTCGTCTTTCCTTGAGCATATAACTCAGTCGAGACATGTAAATTTACCAAACCTTTCGTCTGTCCTTAAGCATATAACTCAGCTGTAATGTAATTTTACCGAACCTTTCATCTTCCCTGGAACATATAACTCAGCCGAGACATGTAAATTGACCAAACCTTTCGTTTTCCCTTAAGCATATAACTCAGCCGTAATATAATTTTACCGAACCTTTTGTCTTCCCTAGAATATTTAACTCAGCCGTAACATGTAAATTAACCAAACTTTTCGTCTTTTCTTAAGCATATAACTCAGTCATGACATGTAAATTTGCCGCAAAACAACAAGAGACGCAACATTTCGTCTAAATTTATCATCGAGCACCAACTTCACAAGTTTGTCGTGCATTATTTCCGCATCTATCTGCACAACTGTACACCCTCTTCATCAGTGTAAATACGTATTTGTGTTTCGATACTCAATTACCGGAAACAACAACAACCGGAACCGGATCAACCATATCGGAAGAAGGATGAAAGAAATTGAAGAAGAATGAAGAAGACGATGAGGAATTGTAAGTTCCGGTGATGTGAAAAACTCAGGTGAAGAAGACGAGTTGAAAAAATTTGGCTCTATTTACATAGAATATTGCAGCCGACGTCGTTTTGAATTGATGAGGTGGCAAGTAAGCCACCAAACGAACATGTAAATTTGCCTAAATAACTTAGCCATCAAACAAAGCTATAAGCCAGTCGCAACATGAATACTATTATAGTAATTAAAAAACGAAAAAACGCCAAGTTAATTCAGCCGTGTAATATCGTAACTTAACCGGCAATAAATAACTCAACCGTAACGTTTGATAAGTCGGCCGTAACTGCATGCTATTATAGTAATTAATCTTTTGCAACTAAGTCAGCCGTAACTAGGCTGAGTTATCCGGTAATCTAGCTCTTTACGGTTGATTTATAACACTTGATCATAACTCAGCCGTAACAACATCCCATAACTAACCCGTCCTTCATAACCCAGCCAGCCAAAAAAAGATAACTCAGTCGTGTCGAGGAAATAAGTCTGATGTTTTCTAATAACTTAGCCATAACGTTGTCTAGGTTGTGCTCGAAATTCTTATAACTCAGACAAAATTCCTTAACTCAATTGTCATGTAGGCTGGATTATCGCATAACTCAGACATAATTTTTAAATCAGTCGTAACGTATGCCAAGTTATACTCATAATTCCACCGTTTTTTCATGACTCAAATACTTTTGTCGTAAGTCAGCCGCAACATACCGATTAATCCATGACTCAACCTTGTAACGGCCGCTATATCGCCTTACGGCTGAGTTCATTAATCCACGTTAGCGATTTCTGACGTGGCAGTGGTATTCCATGTATTACGTTTTTTCTTGTAACGTTTGGTATAGACACACTGAGTATACAAAAAGACGAAAATATGATAGTAATAAAAAAATATTCTGTTTGGTTCTAGTGAATAAACCTAATTTATATAACATCTTAGTAAATCTCTCTAAAAATAATTTATATATTATAAGAAAAATATAAACATAAATTAAAACAATCTTTTTAGGAGGTATAACCTTCCATATGATTGTAGAATAGGCATAACCTTTCATAGGATCAAGGAGATAGAGCTTACCATTTGATCCAAAATATAGATCTGAACATATGATCGAGCAGGCAGAGCCTACCGTTATGATCAAGGATGTAGATCTTATTATACGATTAAGAGGCAAATCCTACTATTATGATTGGGAAGAGGGCATAGCCTATTACTCTATATAATATATATATATATATATAAATTTCTAATTTTAAATAAATTAAGTTGTTTAATATAATTTAAATATTACCTCAAAGCGATGATATATTTAGAGTCGCTCAGAGAGTCACTCGTGCTAGCGGATCAAGAGTCGTTCGTGCTGATAACGTATTAAATATTATATATTATATTATTTTAGAATAATAAAAAAGAATCTCTTACTCATATTTTCTTCTTCACAAATGAAACATATATATAGAAAAGGTGAACTCTTTGGATATACCTAAAACTTGGACAACAAGTCACGTGGGTTTGCATAAATGGATAAACACAACAATTAATAATTATCTAACTTTTTCTTGTATTAATCATTTTTATTCAATATATATATATATATAGTTGTTTATTTTTTAATGATATTTATATATTGGATACTTCATTTTGTATCTCACAGTTTTTATATAAAATTTATATTAATCACCAAAATATTTGTTTTCTTTATTTGTTAACAAGTTTTATACTGATTTGAATTTGGATAATAACACAACAACGAAAATAACACAAGTTACTATATCACATGTTAAAAAACATGTGATTATTCATATGTTAAACAATTTTTGTATCCAATTTATTATAGATTATTCATAATTTCATATGTTAAACAAAAAATTTCCCGTCTACGGTCTTAAAATTTCTAGCCACAAAATTGATATTGACTGAAAGAATGTCGAATTATATACAACAATTAAGAATATTTGACCAAATCTATACTTTCCTAAGCTGGAGATGAAAAATTGATATCGAAAGAAATCAAATTGATACTTGATATTAAAGATTACCAAAAAAAAGTAGAGTAAATCCTAATTCTAATTGATTTGGGCTTTTGGGCTTCATATTGGATTATATTTATGACCCGACCCGAACCAAAAACACCCAATTCTCTTTGACCAAAAAATAATCCAAAGACTTAGAAGAAAAACAAGATCGGGTCTCGTCACGGTCCACGGCGCAGCTTTTTCTTCGTCTTCTTCAATTATTCTATTCCCTCTGAGAGATTCTCTCTGCGTTTCTTAGATCGAGCGAGCGAAGCGAGAGATCATGGAAGGTGGAGCTGCTCTCTACAATCCTCGAACTGTCGAAGAAGTTTTCAAGGATTTCAAAGGTCGTCGTACTGCCATTGTCAAAGCTCTCACCACCGGTAAAAATTTCACTATCTTCTCAGATCTTTCTGCTTCTAGTGATTGTTATCTTCTCCGATCTATGTTCAATTTCCTAATTGATTTGAGTTTTTGCTTTTCTTGCAGATGTTCAAGAGTTTTACCAACAATGTGACCCTGGTTAGGGTTTCTCTCTTTTCTTCCCAATTTTGATTCTTTTCTTCTCTTTTACTCATATCCTCTCTTGGGTTTTCTCTGTGTATAGATCAAATCTGTTTTAGACTTATTGTGTGTTATTGTATTGTACAAATCTGCAATATGATTTATACTTAGTCTATGGTGTGGTTATTGGTATTGTACAATATGATTTATACTTAGTCTCTTTGTGTGGTTAATTGATTAAAGTTGTGTGTTTTGTATTGTTACGATTTGGGTTTTCAGAGAAGGAGAATCTTTGCTTGTATGGGTTACCGAATGAAGAATGGGAAGTGAATTTACCAGCTGAAGAAGTGCCTCCTGAGTTACCAGAGCCAGCTCTTGGTATTAACTTTGCTAGGGATGGGCTCTCTGAAAAGGAATGGCTTTCGCTTGTTGCTATTCACAGTGACGCTTGGTTACTGTCTGTCTCGTTTTACTTTGGCTCAAGGTTTTCTTTCCACAAGGAAGAGAGGTAATGGATGGTTTCTCTTTTGGTCTCCTACTCTTCACAGGTATATATGTACATGCTAACTTGTGTAAGTTTTTCAGGAAGCGTTTGTTCAACATGATCAATGATGTTCCTACTATATTTGAAGTAGTGACTGGAATGGCTAAAGCAAAGGACAAGTCATCTGCTGCAAATCAAAACGGAAACAAATCCAAGTCTAACTCTAAAGTTGTAAGACTCTTGCTATATCCTTTTTAACTCTTTGCTTTTGCAGTTTTCGGAAACTTGTATCACTAAAGATGTTCATGGTTCAACACGTAATCATGTACTAGCTGACGGAAACACGATTAATTCATAATCTTGAATACCACATCCAGACTATTGTAGTTTCTTAGTAGGGTGGATAAAACAAAGAGACAATGCTTCACCGAAAACGCTGCTTTGGTTGGATTGGTTTTGAGTATATCTGTAGTTTTTTTCATCTGTGTAGTTTAATATTTCCTTTGCTTTGTTTTGGGAATGCAGAGAACTTCAGAGGGAAAAAGCTCAAAGACCAAGCAGCCAAAAGAGGAGGACGAAGAAATAGATGAAGATGATGAGGATGACCACGGGGAAACCCTTTGTGGAGCCTGTGGAGACAGTGATGGTGCTGATGAATTCTGGATCTGCTGTGACCTTTGTGAGAAGTGGTTCCATGGCAAGTGTGTGAAGATCACTCCAGCTAGAGCTGAGCATATCAAACAATACAAGTGCCCTTCATGCAGCAACAAAAGAGCTCGAGCTTAAAAATGTTGTATTGTAGAGAATAGCCTGTAGTGACAACTCTCACTACCCTCGATCTGTCTTTATTTGGCTAGTCTTTTAGCTCGTTATTGGCCATAACAGCTTGGGCCTATTTCTCTGTATAATTGGTTTGATTTTGCAACTGAGAAAAAAAAGGAAACTCTTTAACTGAATTTGTGGTTAGCTTCAAACCAAGAGGAAACATAACAATTCTTAATTCGGATACAGCAATATACTCTAGAAGTCTCGAAATCATCACTAACCCTATCTGGAACAATTATGTTAGGGTTCTCAGAACCTGAGGTAACTTGTGATGCTTCTCTAGCAATCTAGCAATAGTCTCAACTCTCAATTGGGAGTGTAACGAAACTGAAGATCACATCAACAAAATCTTGACACATTTTATAGTAAATTCAAAATAAAACATAAACATTTCGGACACATGAAAACAAACAAAAAACAATAACAAGAAGTCTTGAAGCAAACAAAGTTAGAAAGGAAAGCCAACACTTGAGAGCACAAAATAGAAAGAGAAGAGATGAACACGGATCACTAATTCACTATGCCCGGTCTCTCACGACTTGACTCTGCGTAAGTTTTCAATATCGATACCTTTATTCCTTAACCAAATCAGTACACACTAACACACCATACACGAGAGAGACTAGCACATCACTAGGTCAGCTCCCAATACACCATACGAGAGAGACTAGCACATAACTAGCTTAGCTCTCAAGTCTCTCATGCGAGACTCATACACCACAGATTTATAACGAACAACAAACATTCAGAGGCAGTATTTATACTAGAACAGAGTTTTCTAAAGATATTTTTAGATCCTAAAAATATCTTATTCTTCCTTCTCACGTGCCTCCTCACTTGCACGTTTCTTCTTCTGCTTTATCTCTCATTCTCATTCTTCTTGATACACCAGTCGTATCACTCTGCTTCGCCTTGTAAGCACAGTAATCAAGGAAAAGCTCTGTCCCCGTTAAGTAGCAGCCAAAGTGGCTCTTCTTGAGTGCCATGAGCGAGTAGACCTTCTTTAGGTTCTTCGCACCATCAAACTGGTCACCTTTCTCCACCATAACCATGTAGAAGTCGAAATACAAAGCTATATTGCATGCGTTACGCATACAATACTCTTTGATCGAGGCCACGACCTTCTCCCTAGTATCTAAGCTCCTAAGATGAGTAGGCGCGTTGTTGACAGTGACTATCTCTTTTGACATCCAAATTGGGAAGTTCTCTAGATAGGCCATCATCTCGAAAAGAGTCTCCCATTTGTATCT